AAGTGGTGGCGCGGAAATTTTTGGGATAATTATTTCAATTGGAGAAGGGGGAGATGTTACCGGGGCGGGCTAGACAAAATTCGGGAGAGTTAGGCAAAATTTAGGCGGGCGGGTTACGGGTAGGGCTGGAAATTTGGTATCGGTATTTGGGATATAGCGAATACTGTACCGAATTTAACCCTATTTAGTATGGGAGTTGATAAAGGTCGTCCTAACAATTATTAATGATCGTCCTAAAAAACAACAAAGTTACACTTTTAACCTTTTGACATCTTTACCTTTCCTTTAGCAAACAAACACCACATTCACTTAGAAAACAAAAAACATTCATTCTCCCACACTCTCGAATTCATCATCGACATTTGGAAGCCGAAATCGTCGAGCATACGTCCGAACAATGAGTAGCGACTCCGACGAGGTAAAAATCTCGTTTTAAAAAAAAAAAAAAAATCTCGACCGAATGTGATTTTCGGTTGGTCCATGGTCAAACCGAAGTCAACATTCGGTTGAGCCATGGTCAAACCGAAGTCAACATTCGGTTGAGCCATGGTCAAACCGAAAGTTGACTTCGGTTTGACCATGGCTCAACCGAATGTTGACTTCGGTTTGACCATGGCTCAACCGAAGTCTTCGTTCGGTGAAGGGCGCCGCGGAACGAACGGAGCTTACCTTCTTCTCCGGCGAGCACGGACGGCAGGCGAGAGGAGGGCTGACGGCGACGGCTGGGCGACGGCGACGGCGAGTGCGTGGCGGCGTGGGACGGCAGGCCACTGGAGGAGGGCTGCGACGGCGACGGCGGACGAGGACTCACGGCGACGGGGGAAGGGCGAGGTGGGCCGGCGGGTGACTGACGGCGACGACCCGCCGTGGTCTCTCTGCGGCTGGGCGATGGTCAAACCGGCGGCGGGTGACTGACGGGGAGGTCGGCGGCTGTTGGTGGACGGGGGAAGGGAAGTGGAGGAAGGGGAAGTATGCGAAGTGGAGGAAGGGGAGTGTTTGGCTAGGGTTTGTGTTTTAATTTTAAAAAGGGTAATTAAGTAATTTACGTATTAAGTTAGGACGACGATTAGTAATTTTTAGGACGACCTTTAACCCTTCAGATTTAGTATTACCGAATATTGGATTATTTCTTAGGCATTGGAATTGAGATTCATTTTGGAATGCTATTCGGTATTCGGGATTACGGGATTGGGATTGCTATATACCAAAATATCTAGAAATAATAAAAATTAAAAATTAATAAAATATAGCCCACAATCTTTGGTCATTGCTCACTATTTCACAACTTAGAAGCCCCCATCCAACTCAATTTTGACTTTTCCGTTTAAGTCACTCTCGTCTCTCACCTAATCTCTTGTTATTTTCATAACATAAAAAAGCAAACACTAATATAGTCGTCTCTCAGCCTCCGGCCAATTCGTCAAATTAAAGATTACCAATGGCAACAATTTGAGTTGTCACCTCTCCTCCATTCTCCTTATCCATATCCTAGCTCTAAACAAACTCAAGACTCGTTGCTTAGTCTCTTCGCCCTAAATTAAACAATCAAATTTAATTTACATATTTAAATATTAATTACAAAGGTAATTAATTTCGTATTCCATAATACCGATTGGGATACCAAAGTACCAATTGGGATAACGAAATACTTAGGGATTGGGATTGGGATACCGAAATTATTTAGGGATTGAGATTGTGATTAATTTTAGGGTGTAATTCGATATTCGGGATTTCGGTATTTGGTATTGGAATACTGATACCGTAACGACTTCCACCCCTAGTTACGGGTATGTATGGGTGGGTATTGATGGTTTAGTGGATAGGATACAATGTATTGATGATGACGTCATGGGGTATATGGTTATGATTGTGGTTGGAGTTAGTTACAAGTCAAGTCATGACAAAATATATTAATTAACAAAATCATAACTCATAAGATCAAGTTTGTTATTAATATATGTTCATGAATCAAACGATTTACCATTAGGGTATAAGGCATTGATGTCTAGGGTATAAGATATTAGTTGGAGTTTCTCAATTTTTGTTTAAAACATATGTTTTACAATACTCTTTAAGTTGCTGTTATATTAGGATAATTGGATAAAAAATTAAAATGTTGATATCACCTTAACTATTAGCCAGTATACTTTACCCCTCCTAAACCCTAAGTCCTTCATCCAAACTACCAACCTTCTACATCAATCTATCCACTTGGCATAATCACTACAAACTCCACTAATAACAATCGTTCACATCATAGAAATACTCATGCTAATCCCAATAAACTCCGTTTCGACCCTCGGAGCCTTTAGAAAACTTGATGGAAAATTTTGGCACTATTCATGTTTTCTTTGCCTGGGGATCTCAAATCGAGAAACACATTATTTCAACACGTTTAGGGTCACATTTCATGGGTTCGACAAAGATTTGGCCATTTCACAAGTCGGTAGCTTAGGAAATGGCAAAAATACGATTTTATAATTAACAAGCAAACTAATTATCATAGTTAAATATACTTTTTGTAGTAAAAATAACATATTTATAAATTATAGAATTAGTGAGCACATTGAACAATTATCTGATTAAACATGATTTATTTTTTCAATTTAATTACCAAATATAATCTATTATAAATTAAATATCCTAATATAATGTAATTAATCTATGAAGTATTTTTAAGTTCAAAATATTACTTCCATAATAACCTCCTTGTTCTCATTGTCCAGTAGGCTAAGATGACTCGTCATTTGAACGTCTAACAACGCGCAACACGTTCCACCTCTACGAGTATGGAGTAATTAAGTAACAAATTCATGACTCGTTGACGAAACATTATTGACGAAAATGAAACATCATTCCTAAAAGTAATGTATAGTGAAAAAATTGACATGCCCTCGCTAATTTTTGTCATTAATAGTTATCTTTACATGACTCGTTGACGAAACATTATTGAAGAAAGAGGAATATCGTCTCTATAAGTGATTTTAGCGTCGAAATTTATCGGCCCTCACTAATTTTTCACTACAAGCAGTCTTTACTGACGACGCCTAAGCTTTGTCGAAAAACACAGTGTTTTGGCGCCAATTTTTCTCTCCAAAAAGTAGGGTTAGTGACAAAGATTATTGTCTGTTACGACAATGACTATGGTTTGTCACAAATAAATAACTCGTTTGTCTCAAACTTTGCTTGGAGTTAAACCCTAACATCTTCTCTTCTTGGGTTTGTCAATTTCTCTCTCTAGAAAGTTGAAGAAGAAAAAGTTTCTCACACTAGGTCTCGCCCCCTTTACCTTCGGCTCACCCTCCTTTTATGCTCAGGTCGAGGGCAGTTCACGGTCCCAGTTCACGACGAAAAACATCCTTTATGGACCGTGATGTCGAGAAAATCCGCACCATTTCACTTAGTATGTTCAGGGTTTGTGGCTTTGGTTCTCGGCCTTAGCGACCGTGAACTGACTAGGATCTAGTGAGGTGTGCATTCCGCTTATGGACTCTTGGCACTTCACGGTCTGGGGATTTGGTTCACAGGCTTGACACTTCACGGCAAAGTATAGTGCAAATCATGCCAAGATATAGAAGATTTTTTTTGGATTTTTCTTTAAATTTTGATATAATAATATTTGAAATCTGACTATCAATCCAAATAATTTCGTCAAAAGATTTTGGAAATAAATTTGAAAAGTCTCTTAAAAGTTTGCCATGGTTTTTGGATGTAATTGGAGTTTACGATCGATGATCAAAATAGGGGAAACTTGCCTTTATCATAGTGCAAATTTCACGCAAAATACTCAAGATACTAATCAAACGAAACCGCAATTCAAGATTGTAAAGCACCATTTCAATCTACAAACATGTAGCAAAGTTATGCAAATAAGAACTATAATATTTGGAAATTTGGGCATAGACCTATACATAATTTCGATGGAGACAAATATAAGCGAATAATTTTTAACAATTAAAAGACGAGACAAACTGAATCACATATTCCGAGGACTGAGGCACTGGGCCACGACTTTGTTGGGCCTAGCAATATGACCAATTGAGGGGAAATGGACACAAGAAATGGATCCTATGGCCCATCTTGCTTATTTTGAGCGCACACTACGCCTTCCGCGAAAAGGAAGAAGAAGAATCAAGGGAACAAAAAAAGAAAATTTGTCAAAAGAAGGAAAAATTAATAAATTATCCTTCGTCGGTAAATATCTATCTAGCGTAGCTTAAGGTGCCTGGTTAGCTTTATAACAAAAAATCTGTCTGGCTAGCTAGTCGAGCTTTGTCCCTTACTATGGACGAACAAGATGATTTGGTTACCTATGGGTGGAAATTGGTACGGTATTGGTATCCCAATACCAAATACCAAAATCCCGAATACTGAATTACACCGTATAATCAATCTCTATCCCATTCCCTAAATAATTCAGTATCCCAATGGGTAGTATCGAATATGATATGAATTACCTTTACAATTAATAATTAAACATATAATTTAGATTTGATTGTTTAATATAGGACAAAGAGACTAAACAAAGAGTTTTGAGTTTGGCTAGAGCTAGGATATGGATAAGGACAATGGAGTAGAGGTCACATATCAAGTTTTTGTCATTGGTACTTTAATTTGACGAACTAGAGGGTGAGAGAATACTAATACTAGTGTTAGTTTTTTGGTGTTATGAAAATAACAATAAATTGGTGGTTGAGGTCTTTGAGGATATTGTAGTAGTGAATGAGAGAGTGTAGTTGAAAGGATAGAATATACAATTGCTTATATTTCGGAATTGTTCGGTATTTTGATATATACCGATTCCAATTCCGTAATCCCTAATACCGAATAAAAATCAAATCTCAATTCTTGAAAATATCAATTCCGTAATCCCTAATACCGAATTGTTCGGAATTGTTGGCATTGCTGCTTCATCTTGAAAATATCTACACGGTCCTTGCAGAATTGACGATCGCATCCTGAAAAATCGAACGGCCCAAGGGCCAAAAAGGACATCTCAGCCAAAAAGTCACCAAAATGCTACGCTTTCTTAAACCCTCGCCAGCCCTCACTTTCTTCAAACCTTATCCCTCTCTATACATCTCCCTCCTTATCTCCGAAACCTCCGTTCCTTCAAAGCCATGGCTGCCACTGCTACAGCTACAGCTACAGCTACGGCTTCCGCTTCAACCCTAATTCTCCCATCTGTGAACGGGAAGGCCTTTTCTTTCTGCTCTCTCGCCAAACCCACTTCCGTGTTTTTTGCTCTCCCTTCTTCTTCGCTCAAGCTTTCATGTCTCCACTCCTTGGCTCCCCTCCCTCAGATTGTTTCACCTTCCTCTATTGCCGCTCGCTTTGTGAGGAGGGTTTCGATTTCTTCCGAGTTCGACCAAGAGGAAGGCCTGCTCAGCGACAGCGATGAAGGGACCAGTTTCTCCCCTGCCCTCAAACTGTTCGTCGGAAACCTCCCTTTCAGTTGCGATAGCGCGCAGCTAGCTGAGATTTTTGAGACTGCTGGAAATGTTGAGATGGTTGAGGTAATTTTGGTTGAACTGTTGCGTGTTGCTTTGGTTAAGTTGTTTGGATAATGCTGAAATGGCTGTAGAGGTTTTAATTCTATCGTCAGAAGTATCTCTCCTAGTCGATGCCAAATTCTTCGCCTACTGAAATAGTCGTTGGTGTTCCCCTGACAGGTTATATATGACAAGGTAACTGGAAGAAGCAGGGGGTTTGGATTCGTCACCATGTCCAGTGTTCAGGAGGTTGAAGCTGCTGCTCAGCAATTCAATGGCTATGTGAGTCCAAACCTTACGCTATCCATTCGTCAATTTCTATCCCTAGCTCTCTCATAACATCCTGCTAGTAATGACTGCCAATTGTTTGATTTCTACTATGAATACTTGGGTTGGTTTGTCTTCTTAGCGACAGTTTTGGTTAACCTTGCTCACTTCACAGGAACTCGACGGAAGAGCATTGAGAGTGAATGCTGGCCCCCCTCCACCTCGCGAGAGGGACTCACCTTTTGGCAGAGGAAGCAGAGGCGGGGAGTCCGCGTTCGCTAGAGGAGGCAGAGGTGGTGGGGGCGGTGGTTATGGTGGTGGGAGAGATGATGGTGGTAACCGCCTCTACGTAGGGAACCTATCATGGGGTGTCGATAACTCGGCACTTGAGAGCTTGTTCCGTGAGCAAGGAGATGTTGTGGAAGCTAGGGTTGTTTATGATAGGGAAAGTGGTAGGTCAAGGGGGTTTGGCTTCGTTACATTCAGTTCAGCCGATGACATGAATTCTGCCATGGATTGCTTGAATGGCGCTGTAAGTTTGCTGTTCATTTCCGCTTTTTTTGTTTGTTTGTTTGGTTGGTTGATTTGCATTCTGATAGATAGGGTACTTTTATGACCTGTATGAGTTCAGTATGTTGCATAAGCGTGATCTCGAGCTCAGATATCATATCAGCAGTCAAGTGCGTTGTTGTTAATTTGTGCTGTCCTTGATTGCTAACTGCGACATAGTATGTACAGTGATGCTTAATGTTTCCTTATTCGTGGGTCTTGTTTCAATGTTTCAATTGAGCTAGCCCTAACCGGTGGTTATGCATGCGGAGATTAGTTACATCCACATTGTCGATTCTCTTATTACTTGGCACATGCAATACAAACGTGAACTGATTTTAACAATATGTCGTTCTGGTTCAGGAATTGGATGGGAGACAGATTCGGGTTTCTGTTGCCGAGGCTAGGCCAAAGCGTTTTTGAACATTCAACATTAGCTGCATATCCATCTTTCAGGTACTTGACCCAGATTGTTGTACTTGGTTCTTCGGTATATGAATGTTGGATTGTGCATAGCAGAACAAGTTGACTGGTCTTTCACTAATCGCCAATCGTGGGCTTGTGCTTCCTTGCTTGTTGCTGATAAACTCAGAATGACTGGTGCAGGGACTCAACTTCATCAAGACATTATGGAGTGCCTTGCAACTGGGCTACGTTGGTGAATTTGAAGAGCTGGATGGCATGTTCACTGCCCAGAGGTCTTCAATGCTACCGCTCCAGCTGGTTTGCAAAACGTAGGGTCCTTTTCGTTTGTTTTGCGGATACAGGAGCAACATCCCCTAACTTTTGGCTTTGAATCCCTTGATTACTTCATATTAGAAACACGGAATGGAGTCTTTACTAGAGTGCTCTCTCTGCTCTTATGCATGACCCAATATTTTTGTCTTCCCATATGTTTGTGCTTGATTTTAATTTTGGAAGGAATGAATTTTAGTCATCGTTGATGTAGTATTCTTCGGTCGATTGCAGACTCCCACCTAATTGCCATATCCTGATCCAGGTTTTGGCAATTCGGGTAGTTGGATAGCCAGTATTGAGAATGAGAACCATTCACAATAAGTACCAGTTTTCGAGCCTACACTAATAACTTAGGCATTGGTGGCTTATATCTCCACTTTGGTTGGAGCTAGATGGTGCAAGTCCTCGTGAATCAACGCTGTGAATGCGCTGCGACTACGACTGTTCTCCACAAAATACCCTGTGACAATTCCCTTGCACATAACTCGCGCAGCTGCCTATGGTCGACAAGCAATGAGAATGAGGGTTTGCCAAAGCGGACGAACGTTGTTGGAAACACCTTCAATTGGTGACGGCGAGTAAGTACATACATTGAAGGATTCACAGTGAAAAAACTTGACTCGCACGAAACTACACCACAATAAAACCTCAATTAGAGCTCAAGTTTTTAAACTCTAATAGGGTGTAGTATAGGGCAAGTATTTATATATCGACCCGGGCCGGTTCGTCTATCCCTACTTTCGTTGTTGAAATTAGAGGTGTCAATCGGGCGGGTTCGGGCTAGGTTCATTCGGGTTGCGGGTCAATCGGGTTGTGGGTTCATCGGGTTCGGGTTGATTGGGTTGCGGGTCAATCGGGTTATGGGTCAATCGGGTTATGGGCCAATCGTGTTGCGGGCCGATTGGGTTACGGGTCGGGCGGTTCGGGTTGCGGGTTTTACGGACCAAAACATCGCGTTACGTTTTAGTGATTACTAGTAAGTCGTAAATCGTAACTATATGAAGCTAGCACAATACTTGTAAAAAAAAAAAAGAATCACTACTCAAAGTCAAAGAATCAAACAAAGGTGGGGGGAAACAAAATTTTGGGGAAACATTATAGGGGGAATTATTGGCGGGTCTCGGCAGGTTGGGGGAATCAAATTTTTTGGTAGTAGTATTGGGGGAACCCAATATTTGGAGAGAATAGTTTAAAAATAGTTTTTTAATTTTTTAAAACAAGTGAAATTGTTCATATAAATGTATAGAGAAATTGTTGGTTTAGCTAGTTAATTGTTTATATGATTTTTGTATTAAACTAAATTATAAAATTTTGAAAAATTGTTGTGAGTTTAATTGTAACTTTACTCGATAACATATAATCTAAACTCTAAATAGTCTATACCCTGAACCCCAAATGATTTTATTCATGAACATGTGTTAATAAATAACTTGATCCTTATTATTTATGATTTTGATTAATCTTGGCTAAACCATTAATAGTTTAATACATTAACTCTAACCCATTACCCTATACGTCGACTCTATATCATATACCCTAAACCCCTAATGGTTTTATTGATGAACATATGTTAACAAAAAAAAACTTGATCCGTATTGGTTATGATTTTGACTAATCCCTGTTCGTGTCGCAACCCTAAATTGAGAGAGTAGAGCACCCTTGACCGCCGCCTCTTCCCTCTAGTGTTATCGCCGCTTCTTCCTTCCGCCGGTCGTGAGTACTATTACACTACAGGAAAACTGGTTTTTAGTCACTGTATCTTATTTACGGTAGTGTTTCCTGTACTTAGAGGCATGCTACTAAGCACGGTAAAATTTCCCGTAATTAATTTTATAGTTCCAATACCGGAAATTAATTTACCTATTTTTATCTTCACTTCACTAAAAAAAACAAGTTTCTAGTCACGGGATCTTATTTACGGGAACCTTTCCCATATTAAAAAGTATACTAAATGTTACGGTAAAATTTCTCGTATGTAATTATATAATTCTAATCACGGTAATTTATTTATATGATTTTGAATCTTTATTTACCGTGATTAATAGTTAGGCTCCAACCAAAATTCATTTGGTCAAAAAATTCATTTGATTCAAATTTTGGCATCAACCAAAATTATTTGGCTCCAAAGTTTTCCACCGCCCAATATTCATTTTCAGTTTTTCGCTCAAAGTTTCCCACTGCTCAAAGTTTCCCACCACCCAAAATTATTTGGCTCCAAAGTTTCCCACCGCTTCAGGACACAAAGGAAAAGCAGACCGGGAAGAGGAGGAAAAGGGAAAGACAGAAGGCGTACTGTGAGGGTTCAGAGGGGTTGAGGCATATTGTTTGGTTGATTGAGATAATTCGTGATTTCTTTCCTGTTATGATCGTCATTTGGAATGTCAATTTGTTTTTTTGACATGTTTTTATTGATATTTGAGGTCTTAAGACAATATGAACTATCATGAGTCATGTATTCTTGTTATGATCAGACTTTTGTGAACTATTATTAATCTTTTTTATGACAGGACCATGATGTTTGGATTTTAAATCTTATAATTATCTTATTATGCTAAATTAATATTTTATAATGTTATGTGTACTATTAGGTTGATGATGTATCTAAATAAATATTTGATGATATTATATGCGTTAATATGTTGATGATGTATATTATTATACTAAGTTAATAATTGATGATGTAATGATCAGACTTTAGTGAACTAGAATTTCAAATGTCAACTTTTGGTTTATCTTCGTCGAATTCCTTCTATTATAGTCAACTTTTGGTTTATCTTCATCGCAATATAACTATCATTTTCCATCTAACCATTGCTTCATGTAACTCCCTCCCTATTATCTACAAACAAACAAAATCACATATGTAGTATTATTTCCTTCCTTTATCATTGTGTAAAAAGTAAAGAAGCTAAATATTATAAATCTAAAAAATAATTTAGTAAATAAGAAGAGAGTTTTGCTTGTTTTACAGAACTTGATCATTTTTTTGCCTTTTCGATGTTGGATTTCTTTTGAGAGAGAAGCTTTCAACAAAGAGATAGAAGAAAACCAAAGATTGCATTGATTGGAACTTTAACATTGTTATTAACTCAATTTATGTTTTATTTCTAATGATGATGCATTAAAGTGCAAGAAAAAAAATATTTCAATTATTATTAGAAGTTATCCATATTGGATGAATGAGAGCTAGCCATGTGCTTATGTGACACTAATTTAGTTTCGATTTCCTATAATATTAAGTAAGGATGTCTAATTGAATGATGGACAATTTGCTTCGAAAAACATATGGGTGTGTTTGTTTCAAGTTTTTCTTTTATTTTGTGAATTTTTACTTACATTTGAGGAATATTTTCTATAGTTTGGATGAAAATATGTTTGGCAAAGGTTTTGAAAAGGTAAACTTGATGAAAAGTGATGTATTTTTAATAACAGAAAGGTAGTTCATGAGATAGTGCATGTTGTGTTAAATAATTAATAAAGTAGTAAGTGAATTTTGAAAAATTACTATTAGGTTATACCTTTAGGAATAAAGCATATTAAGATAAAAATAATATAATAATGTAGCTCGATAACCATTTTTCATTTACCTATTAATATCATAAATTAATTCTAGAGATAAATAGATACTGTCACGTGACTCTTACTCTATTGCGTCAATGAGAAATTGTATAAGAGGGTGACATTAATGATAGTTTTATTAAGTCATTATCACTTGTCAATTAATAATACATATGTTTTCAGCATGGAACTTGATTCGAAATAGGTAGGATACCAAAACCCAGAGGCAACACCGTATAGAAGGGCACAAACAGAGTAGAAGTATGAGGTGGAAGTTCTAAGTGCAACCAACACATCCATATTGATTGAACCATTTTTAAGTGCTCTTGCAGCTCCTACATAGAAGCGCTTCCCAATTACAAACTGAACCACACTCACCAATGCCCAATACAACCAGTCCCCCATGAAGAACGGTGCACAACGCTAGAGGAGCACAAAATACAGCAGTGGTATATGAGGGCATATCACTCTCAGGAAAAAGACGGGGATATGTAACAAATTGGAGAAAAAGAGAAAAGAAATGTCAACAAAGAAGATCTGCTGCTGATGAAAAGAAAGAAAGAAGAAGGAAAAAAAAAAAAAAAAAGAACAGGAATGCAGTACTCACACTGAAAAGCAAGATGGAACTGTAAAGTCTGAACATATTGGATGCTTCCTCGTTATCTTTAGAAGTCATTCTTGCACTAAATGATTGAGGTAACAGGGTTCTTACACTGGATGTTGTAAAGAGAATTAAGTGATTATAATGCACACAAAGATTAAAGGTCTATAAGTACATTACCTGTGAACAACCGAATTGTGTCCAATCGTGAAAATGAGGGGAAGGGGAAGACCGAGCCAGCGGATGCGTTGAATTAAATCAACAGATGTATAACCTGCAGAAAAGCAAGAAACACAGAAGTCCAATTCAAACCCTAACCCCAGGTGTTCATGAGGGGATATGAAGAAACACAAAATACCCAGATTGATTAATCAAAGGAGCTCCTATGAACTAAGACAATCCACACTCCATCTCCACCAATTTTGATCCGTTCCAAAACACTCCTCCTCCTCAACACCAAAAAGGCATAGGAAAATAAAACAAGATTATGATGATTGATTCGGGACTAATTGCACATGTTTTGCCCCGTTTTATTTAGATGTTTGTGCCAAATTCGCTCCTTAAAGGTTGGTTTTACGCTAGGTTCTTCGTGTTTGAGTGTGTTTCAGGATTTAACAGGTGGAACCACCCTCGGAGTCGAAAGATTGGCGAAAAGGATCGAAAACCGAGAGAAGAGGTGAAAAAGAGCCAGTTCATGACTAACTGAAAGAGCTCATGGTCATGCAAGACCGTGAAGAAGGGGAGTTGACTGTGAATCACGAGGCGTCCAGAGCCAATGTGAAGGTTATTGACGCGGGGTGAGTTCACGGCCACTAAGACCGTGAACACATGCAGTTGACCGTGAACAGACGTGAGTGATGCAGAGTGTTTTGGCGCACGCCTTGAGTTCACGAACGCGTTTGATGGTTCACGGCCGTGAACTCAGCTCTTCTTGGGTTTAAAAGATGAGCTGAAAGAAGGAGAGAAGAGAGAGCCCACTTTTGTGTGAAACACCTTCTTCAGCATTCTAGTGAGTGAAACAGAACCAAAGGAAGAAGAAGGTTAGGGTTTGGCTTCAAGGAAGATTTTGGGAAGATTCCCCCCCAAGGAAAGCTCAACTCAAGGGTCAAGAAGAGAGGGAGCCTCCTCAAAGATGGTTTCCACTTTTTTCCTTTTTGTTCTTCCCACTTCTAGCACGGAGTAGACCTCCTTTCATTTGGGAGTAGGGAAACCCTAACTCTACCATGTAGTTTTTTTATATGTGTTTTGGTTGATTGTCATTAGGATTGTGCATGCTTGTGCTTAGCAACTTAGGGGGTTGTGCATGTTTTGTGCTTAGCATCCTTATGTTTGTGCATTTAGGTGCTTAGAAACCTAAGGATTATGCATAACTGTGCTTAGCACCCCTAAGTTTGTGCATTTAGGTGCTAGTAATCTAATTTGCCACCTTAGCCTAGTTTAGAAAGGAAAATCCCCCTTTCAAGGGAGACTCGATCGAGTGTAACACCCCGAATTTTGGAT